CCCTACATTTTTTTCTTGAAGGGGGGACAGTTTTCACTCCCTCTCCTTTGCAAAGGCAGTCATTAATCTTCTTAGCCTAGTGACAGATCTTGCTCAAAGTGTCAAAGAGAGTAGCCTTGCTCTGAATTGCACACACCACAAATTGTCCCCATAACAGTTCTTGAAACAGGACAAGGGTTATTTTCACTGAAGATATTTTTTATTGCTGGCATAGCATGAGCTTCCAATGAGTTAGAAAAATGCTGAATTTTCCCTCATTTAGGTAAAAATATTCCTGAAAAACTATAGCTTTAAGCACAGGAGATATATGCTTATCAAAACTTCAAGTTAGAGCAGTTCTCAAAATTTCACAGCATTTACTCTTACGGTGCAGTTACTAATACAGCCTGAACCACGTTAGTGATTCCCTGTTAACAAAGGAAAGTGGTCCTTCTTCCCCTCAACACTATGCAGGGAATCCAGAGGCAATCCTCTAGCTTAGTAACTTTGTAATGTTTCTATGTGTTGCCAATGTGGTAGCAGGGAATCTAATAAACCAGCCCTTCACATTCACACACACTTTTATTTTTTGTCTGCACTGGGATTATGTCAATCAATTCAGTAACTAATAAAATATGAAAACAGTTTGATTAGCATTCAGTGTTTTCAAAATCATTTTGCCCATTCCATCAGTTTAGATATACTTCAGTTTTGGTAGGTTTAAGTTGTCTATGCATACCGTTGCAATATGACTATCTTCTGCAAATAATCATCTGTCTTCTACTGCAGAAACTCTCCCTCCCTATCTAATGAGGTGGCTAACGGGTACTGTGTCAGAGTTTCTATGAGATGAGTCACCCATGCTAATTCCTAACTCTTTATCCTTTAGGTGGCTTGCTAAACTGTGACATAAATTGGTAACAATGGAAAACAGTTGTTATTTAGTGCTCAACTGTTGCATATGGAACATCAAGTGATTTAGCAGCCTGGCCCAGCTGCATGGCTTTCACATTATAATTACCACGGTTGCTGGAAGTCTCATCAGAGAAGAAATTACAAGGGCAATTGAATTTGTTACCTTCCCTAGGTAGGGTCTTTCCAGAACTGTAGCAAGAAACAGCTTGCTAGGGTAGCTTGCCAGGGTGGTTATTGAGGCAGTACTTAGAAGCAGAGACATTTTTCCTGTAAATGTGAAGCCTATCAAAGCACAAAACCTATCCCAAACATGAGACCATCAAGGTGGGACATCAGCTCGAGTCTAGCCTTTGCACATCACGGAACATGCATGTAAGGAAAATTTCTAATTCCCAGAGCTGGCAACACTGTTTTCCATATTAATGCTAAGGAAAAGATACATTTTCCAGAAAATGTTTAAAACTAAAAATTATTTTAATATGATTTTGAAGATATTTTACATTATGGAAAATAAAAAGGACTTCACATAAGAAGAATATTCATGTTGAAACCTTTCTCTGGAATCAAAATGGAAGTATTTTTTAAGTCTCTCATTTTATTGTTTTAGTTTTCAGAGTTTCAGGGAGAAGTTTACTACTGTTCTATTGAAAGTTTTCAGCTGCTTCTCTCTGATTTTTTCTTCCTTTAGATCTGTGTGGTGATTGCTGCTGTTTTTGGCATTGTTATTTACCGTGTTGTGACTGTCAGCACTTTTGCTGCCTTTAAGTGGGCTTTAATCAGGAATAACTCTCAGGTTGCAACTACAGGGACTGCAGTGTGCATCAACTTCTGCATCATCATGCTACTGAATGTGGTGAGTAAAACTGACATATCCAAAGTTATACCCAAGCCATCAGATCAGTAGATATCTCAGTCTGCAGGCCACTGCCAGACATGGCATTATTGTTTATGGACATCATTCGCTATTTATGTAAAGTACAATTCCAACCCCCAAACATTATGTAAAGCGTGTTTGAATGTTCTAAAAAATATTTTAGGGAGACTTGTCCATACTCCTGTTTTATCGTCTGCCCCTTTTTTCCCTTTCATATGTTTGCAGGTTTTAGTTCGTTTCATTAATATTCTTCTTTTTAATTAGTGTTTTGATGTTATTTTTTAAATACAGTGGCCAAGCTTAATTCTTATTTATACTAGTTTCAGTAATCCCAGCTGCAGTTTTCACAGTAATTTACCAGTAAGGATATGCATATAGAGACACAATGTCTGTATGCAGGAGAACTCCCTTGGGCTGAAAACTTCAAGAGACTTGAGGAGACCTGAGTGCTTCCATGCGCTGCCTATGGCCTTTGCCAGGGTACGCCAGAGACACCGTCTGGGTGCATTGTAGGGGGACTGGCTGAGGTCGGGTTATTATTGTGAACTGGTTGGGAACCAAACTTGGGACAAAGACATAAATGGAATTGCTATGTGGTAACAGCCCCAGTAAGACAGTATAGCACAGATTAGATGGGGAATGAGTTTCATCCTTCCATTGAGATGCAGGTACTTCTGTATATTGCTGTGATAGAAATGTGGCTTCTATTAGTTGCTCTTGGCAAGAGATGTATGGCCTTTTACTATGAGTTTTTTGTCAACTGACATTATAAGAATGCATTTTAACGGGGAGGAGGGATCAACCTACAAACCATCCAGGTACTGGAGCCAGGGCGGAGTATCTGTACCCACTCAATAGCAAGTGTCTTCTGCAAAAAGCATATTAGGCTTTGCTCCAGGAGATACGCTGACTTACTTCCTAGGGAAAGTGTAAGATGTTATTTCAGGCCTGCACATTCCAAGTGCTGGCTTGGAGACTACTTTCTTTCCTGTGCAATACCCAAGCATTTAGATCATCTGAAAATTAATTTTAACAGCCCCCTCATTTATATAGCAGGAAATTCCAAGAGGCTTTGCTGCAGGACTTCACTTCTCCCTTTGGCATAGGCAAGACTGGATCGGTGACTAGGATAGTCTATCAAGACCTGTTGACTTTCCTATGTTTTCCCTAAGGTGGGACTATAGTCTGAGAAAGGGCAGAAAGAAGAGGTGGAAGCTGTTATACTCTCTGAATTTGTACTGAGGGCTCTCTTTTTTATGTTATTTTTGATTTATAGTTTGTTGTCTGCGGCTTTTGGGGGTTTTCTTTAATCCACCTAGAGCACACAATAGCATAGAAGAAATAAAAAGAAAACTATATCTATGTCAGTAAAACATCTATTTCCAAGCTCTTGGTATAAGTCATTGTATATGCAGTGAAGCAGCAACAAAGAAATACTGCACAAACAAAATTATTTGGTTCTCAAAGAGTTTTACAGCTTAGAGAAATTTTTAAAATAATGGAAGATGGCTTGAAGGTGCCTTTTGAGAAACTTTGTTTTACTTCCTAAAATACATCAAATAGAGCACTGCAAAGATGGATTTCTTAGGCCTTATACTCATTACCATGCAATAAACACCACAGCCTTAGATCTGGATATAGCTCATAGAAACAAAAGATCCCCAAAATATGAAACTGCATGAGCTTTTCAAAAGAAGGATTTAAGAACATAATCCCTCACTTCCCGTGATAGATTAATGTAGTTTACTGAAGGACAGTAGTGGGATTTCTTGTGGGGGAAAAAAATAAAAATTCCCCAGGAGCAATTCAGGTAGTTGAATCCTCTACAAACTGTGACTCAAGAAAAGTAGCAGGAGAGCAAGCAAAGATACAGTAATAAAACCAGAATGGACCAAGAGGTATGTAACAGTAGGGAATTCACTGCTAGGAAGCCTGGAAAACCACCAGTGATTCTGATATGAGTTGATAACTTCTCTAAGCATCAGGGGAAAGGTCTAGACCACAAGTAACTTCTAGACTGGCTGCTCTGAGAGCTAGGTACATACACTGACACATCCTTCATGGCAAAATGAAATGACCTTCAGGCATAATGTCTCCCAGATAATCCTGCAGCCTGACCTGGGAACAATCATTAGCTTTGCCTAGGTTAATAAAACCTGTTAATTCCAGTGATATTGCCCATAGAAAATATGAACACAGAACAGAATATGATCCTAAACAAGGCCCCTTGGGACTAATAGTGATAAACTGCAGTAGCAGATAATTAGATCCAAACATTGTTAACAGAATCTCTAACACAGTCATACTGTTCCAGGAAGAATAGCAATAAAATACAGTTTCAATACCCCCTTCTGCAGAGCAATGTACATTTATAAAATATCAACAAAGAAAATCAGGATATAAACCACCCAGACATTTAGCAGTTTTACAGTTGCCCTTAAGAGATGCTTTTAAACCTAGAAGAAACCACCTTTTTCATTACTTGAAACAAAACTGTTTACTCCAAAGGCAGCAAAAAGCTATTCTAAGCAAGAAGTGGTTGTTAACATGGATGAGATCATTCAGGATGGCTTTAGTTCTTAAGCAGGCAGTTTGGTCTGTAAATTGTACATAACTCAATTTAAGTAAGAGTTTATAAGGATAACTGCAAATGAAAAGAAACATTGCTGATATGCACTTGAGGAATAAGTAAGCACTTGAGCCTGAAATATGAGGAGCTTCATATCCCTGTAAGCATCAGTGCGAGTTAAGGACGTTTAGTGTTTTGTGGGAACAAGCTCTGGACTCATTTAAAGAAAATGGAAATTGTATTAATTTACACTAATACTGATGTTGGTGGTGATGTACTTTATAGGTTCAAAGCCCCTTTGCAAGTACTAATTGTGAAAACCCTCTAAGTTAGTTTTTGCAAGCTTTATGAAGTTAGTGGTTTCCCAGAGAGTTTGAGAGCATGGTGTCTGCTGGGCGCAGAAAGTACCGCTTAGGCTTTAGAACAATGTCACTGACTCTGAGTAAGAAATGTGTCTGGTGGTGGGGATTACTAAAGACTTTCTCTGAAGCAACCCTGTCTCCCTAGTGTCTTTCCTTTCAGCACCAAAAAAATCCCAAACAAAACCAAAAAGCCCAAAATACCCAACATATCTGAGCATGCTCTTACTAGAGTGATTTTTTTTTTGTGAGATAAATGTTTCATAAGTAACTGAAACAAAAATCCCAGTTGTGCTATTGTTCTGCTTTGTGTTTTTGGAAAAGTTATCTGACCCTTTTTCAAGGTGTGTGTAAAATAGGGACAGTGACAGCATGTTTTTCTCCATATATTGTGGATGAAAAGAGCTGAGTATAAGCTTTAAAAATATTACTGCTCTTTGTTTGATTATATCATTATTGTGTTATTACTATATAGTTTTATTACCATCATTATCAGAACATCACAGAGACCATCTGGATGTCCGATGTAACATGTGAGAGCAATTACTCTACTTAGAAAGCAGTTCTATATTTTTTAGCAGGTCACTTATCTAAGATGCTGTTTCTTCTCTGTTACAGCTGTATGAAAAGGTTGCTCTTTTCCTGACAAATTTAGGTAAGCAGTGTTAAATACAAAATTGAATGATACTGTACTGATTTTTGATCCCTATACTGTGATAGCATTCAAGCTGTCTGTATAAATATGAAAAGTCCTGATTGATTTGCAATCTATAGGAATTAATGTTTTTCTTAAGTTTATAATAAAGGAGTATATAAACTAAGCTATAGTGCCATTCAATCAGCGGTGACAACAATCACCCACCTGCCATGCTTCGTTCTTGTTCCAGCCCCTTACCTTGTAAGAACTTAAACAAATTGTTACCTTGGGGGGAAAAAGCATGAGTTTTCAGAGAGACTGAGCACTCACAACCCGCAGGTTTTGCGAAGACCTGGAAATGGGGGAATCACTTCTGGAAGCCAAATTTATAGCTTGAAACAAAGATGCTTATTGACTATCAAATATATGCCTTTAAGAGGGGTAGTAATTTGGAGGGAAAATAACTAGGTGACTCATGAATTCTACCAACACCTAAACTGTAATGGTGTTCTAAGTTTCTGTAATCTTTTCAGCTTACCCATACAGGTGATCTTTATGCTAGAATAAGGACATGTTTTCTAAGGACAGTGTGTACTCTCAGTGGGGTAGCAATAGGCTGTCACTCATATATCCATGGCTCAGGCAAAGCCTCTGGAGATCCTGATCATGCTGGAAGATTGCAGTAGTTGGTGGCAATTGGCAAGGGCTCCTTAGTGTCAAGAAGCCTGAAAGGAGACTCTTGCTGAAAGCCTATTAAGCAAACCATATTATGGCATGTGTAGAAGTGGTTTGAGGAGATTATTTTGAGCTTCTGCATACCTTTGTACATTGATGATGTTCAGTAAGGTATTTTGGACCAGGTGGACAGATTTTGGTATCTGCTCAAGGGAAACACACAGCTGACTTTAGCTAGTGTCAGGGCTTTTCTACATGTGGGAAGTTATAGGTGATGCATTCAAAGCACATCTGTGTAAGACAGCATTTTATTCTGTTGTTTCTTATTAGACTGAGAGTCCTCATTTGTATGCTGTAAATTTAAAGTATTTTTGCCATCTTGTATCCATGGAAAAGATACCTGCTAGTTACAGTTGAGAAATATGACTTTCAAGTATATGATTTGCACAGGCTATGCCCTTTTACTCCCTGTGACACCCTGGAGACAGTAAGATATGGTCTAGAGACCTTGAAGCTTGATTACTTTCTGCCAGGTTATCATCAAGGTAGATCTGCTTCTTGTGGCCTGTACAGAAAGCACCTGTATGAAAACTCAGTGGGTCAAGCTGTTCTGACAGTGTTCAGACTGTTTTGTGGTTTTCACTCTGATGGCATAAGTAGCTGATTTGGTTTGAACGATCTTTATCAGTGTAATAAGCTCAGAGTTGGACTGGCAGCAAAGCTACATTCAGGATGTCTTTCTTCACCCTTTACATGACCTTTTTCAGAGCTCACGTCCATGCTCCTCCAGAGCATTGCCATTGTCTCTCATGGGCATATGAGCAAAGCTTCAGCTGCAGCAGTCTTGTTAAAGTCAAACTTGTCCTTCCCACAGACTAGCACCAAAAATCTACAATGTTTTATTTCTTTCTACTTAGCTAAATAGCTATGTACTGGCATACACACAAACTTGGGTTTCTTGACAGGCATTTCCAAATCACTAACACAGTTGTTAACTTATGGTCTGTTTTATGGTTTTGTTGATGCGTCTATTTGAAATTTCCTCATGGATAGGGCAGCTATAATTAAAGAGAATCTAGTTTATCGTTGTTGTTTCTTTACTTCCAGTACTTTACTGGAGGCTCATTTGGAAGTAGTATATGAGTACTACCATTACGATAGTGAGAATCACCATTAGTACCTCCACTTCTCCTCTGGTTACTCCTGTTCACAGCAATGGTTGACTAATAACAAGCTCCTGCCAACTGGAAAGTGGTTCCAGGACATGGTACTGGTGTGTTATCATAGAAGTTGTTTTGTTAACTTCTGTCTTGATATCTCTTTAGATGGAGATTAAGGGCCTACCTGAAAGGAAGAATATGTCTTCCCCTTTCTCATTTGTCTTACCCCATCCATTGCAAAATATTTTTTCTCAGTCTTCTGTGATGAGCTCCCTAGTACAAGGAGTGGGAGTCATGCAGTGGCACTCCACTGATACCTGTCTAGAGTCCTTAGGTACCAGCATGGTGGGCAAATCCATGAAACAGAATTACGAGGAGGGTTTGCTCCGGTTCAGTGTGACATCTTTAACAAAAAGGCACTTACATAGCTTGTAGTGGGGTGCTTTCTGGCAATGTCATTATGGTAGGTTGCAGAAAAGGAAACAAGAGAAGAGTCTGAGCCTGTAAAGCATGCAGGAACCCAGGAGGGATGTTTAATATACACATTACCTCGATGACTTTCTTACAGTCTCCTGGGAATACATATATCCAGATATCAGCAGAGATTTCTAAGTCTTTACAAGCTCACTTGCTGTGTACTGCTTTTGGACACAATTTCTTCTGTGATCTTATATTTTGAAATGAGCAGGCTAATTTACAAATACATTGCCAGCTCTGATAGGTGTGTGCAGCCTTTGTGCCAAGGGAATTTGTTAACCTGATTAAACCTGAAACTCTGCTCTCTTTCTTCACAGAGCAGCCTCGTACCGAATCTGAATGGGAGAACAGCTTCACTCTGAAAATGTTTCTTTTTCAGTTTGTCAATCTGAACAGCTCTACCTTTTATATAGCATTCTTCCTTGGAAGGTAGGATTGATGCCTGCACCCTCATATGGGCAAAATGAAGTAGAGAAAAGAAATAAAATTGTCTGTAATGAAACAAAATGGGACCATATTATCACACATCTCAAAATGCAAATTCCATACTAGCAAAGCAGGAGAGATTGCAGTTTTATTTTCCTTTCAAAAGCCCAGAAACAGATGTAGTTTTCATTTCCTAGCACCACATTGGCTCAATGCTAACTTTTAACAATTTCACTGCTGGGAACTGATGCATCCCACAATACTACACATGCAGGTCACTTCACTCTGTCTTTATGTGTATAATTTGTACAGGTAAGTATATAACTGAACACTGTGTCTTTTTCTTTCAGAATAGAGTAGAATAGTTCAGTTGGAAGGATCGTTCACTAGAATGATCATCTATTCCAACTGCCTGAATACTTTGCTGCTTCTATTATATGATTTTGGCTGTTAAGAGTGAATTATGAGCTATCAATTGGGTTTTTTTCCACAGAAAATGAAATATATATATATATATAAATAATTGTACATCTCTTTCTGCAAGTCCCCTAAAAGCAAAAGAAGAGCCTTTGAGTAGAGGAGGCTTGAGTAGAAGAATCCATCAATATGGATTATTTGCATGTGGGAACTTGTGGGAATCATTTTGGGAGAAAACATGGGAGAATAGTAAGAAAATTATGCCTTCCTAATGAAAACTAGCATTTTCACTGATTTCACCGGAAGGCAGATATCACAGCCCACATTATGGTGTAAGGAAATGGACTGGCAGTTGAAAGCCATTTTCCAAACTGAGATGAAGAGTTTTATTCAGATTTTCTCTCTTCTCTGCATATGCTGAATATACAACAGCAGTGTGTTTGGTATTGAAATAAAACTGGAAGTAAAAATATACTTAGCGCTTCATAGAAATTATTCCAGGAATCCCTCAAAACTTTTTGCAGCATAACGTCTTTTATAGTTATATCAATCATGCGAAGATGACATTAGATTAAAACAACAGTGTGAGCTTTCTTCTACTACTGTGAACAGACTGCTTACACAACATAGTTGATGTATATTCCTATGTTAAAGATTTACAGGACACCCTGGTGCCTACTTAAGGCTGATAAACCGGTGGAGACTGGAAGAGGTGAGTGTGCGCTAACTACACACTGATTTATCTGCTGTCCGCAGATGCAGTGAATGCAAGCAGGGGCAGACACATAACTCTGTCTAGGTATTTTTGAGTGTGTTATTGGGTTTTCAGTTGCTGTCTAACTCCACACTATTGACGGTACCATCTGCTACAAAAACATCTACATATTGATATATATGCCCTTTTCAACGCTAGCAGTTTTAGTGTTTGCATTACAGTTGGATAGTGGTATCAAATGGTTTAAACATTACTCATTTTTTTATATTGGGAATATTTCATCCTTGAAATGAATCAAAGTCAGATATGAATCTGACAACTTTTTGCTTCTAAAAAAATCCTTTCTTCTCAGCTGTTCTAGCCTTGCTGACCAGGCAGCTAAAATAATAAAATAATAACTTAAAAATCCAGACGCATAAAATGTACTTGAAAATTGATGAAAACAACTGAGCAAACTTCCCAAAAGAGCTACTGGCATAATTTCCATGTCTATAAAACCAAATGGATTTGGAGAGCAATGAGAGGTTGGCTTTGCAAATCACTCAAGGACCAATCCCATTTTTGTGGCAAATACATTCAGAACTCAAAAACCATTTGACAGTTACTGGAGATGAACAGCAGCAGTTTCTGGATCAGTCATGTAGCCCAGTGCTGCTATTTGCACACTCAAATCCCATGGTTTCTTTCCTGCTTCACAGCTGAATAACTGAAATAACTTTGCAAATATATGACAAATAGCAAGTGGAAAATGCAGGTTTTACACTGCCAACATGAATTTACAAACACTTCCAGATATCTAAATATTTTGATTAATAGAGGTCATCCAAACACTAGTAAAAAAAAGGAATAATTTGAAAAAAAAATCCTAATTTTGAAGTAGTGAATTCCATACATTCAAGGAAAGAAAAATTGATAAACCAGCAGAGAGAAATTCACTGAACGTCCTTCCAAAGTCTGAGAGGGGCCAAGCTGACCTAACTGCTTGCTGCTGCCAAAAGAGGACAGTTCTGCTCTTCCTTTGACTTCCTCGAGAAGTTTGCTCCTTCCTCTTCCTCTGCACTGGCTCTGGCTTGTCCAGCCCTGTGAGGAGCCTATTCAGTTCCCTGTATCAGCAGGGAATGCTTCCTTTTTCTGGCTGAATTTGGTTTTTTCT